ATGAAAACCTGCTTCACTTGAATACGATTGAATTGTCATAGTGCACGCATAAACATGTATCATCACTGTGCCATTGAATGCTTATTTTTTAAACTGTAATGTTTGCGTTATGCATGAATAAGAGTGGTCTTTTTTAAGGGTTGAATAAGCTGGAAAGTTAGGCGTAGTTTATGCTTGCCATTCTGATCAGATGGCATTGAACATTCAAAATGCTTTGCATGGAACAGATGAAATGGAAGATGAAGTAAGTTACTTTTGGAATAAATTATTTTAAAGTTCTTCGATAAATTTTAGATTGACTATCCAAAATGACTGATAGTGAGTTCATTTACATCCTCAAATATCAAATGGAACGAAAAACTCATCTTAGTTTTGCAAAATTCATGAGAAGACATCACAACTTTGACATTTTTACCAGTCTACGATTATCCTGAGACTACAAGTTTTAGTAGGTATGCAAGGTTAAATTCTTCGGGGTGAACGCATCTCGTTATCGGAATTGTTCATTTGTGAGTTGTGTTCAGGTTAATCAGACGATCGAGTCTTTGGATTACGCAAATAAGCGGATGAAACGGAAATCTTATCGTCGTTATTCGAGAGCGATTCGAACGCAAGCAGAAGAGGATGAAGAACGACAGAAAATTCTCATGGAAGCACTTCACGGTGGTAACACCAAAAAAGGTTCGATTGGATTGTTTCATTTGATTCAATTTATCAGGATTAAGTTAGATTAATTTAATTGGGATCGGCTCAAAATTTGAACAAGAATTTTGTCCCGTTTGTTACACTTCTTGATCGTCTCACGTTGATATATTGAAAGTTTTCAAAATTAGCGTAAAGTATTTCGATGCTGAAGTAGAGTTGCTTCAGCAGCACAAACCGATAAAGACAATGAGATGCGTAAGGCAGAAGCTATCAAAATTGCACTGGCAAAAGCAAAGCAATTGGCCGCACGTGCTTTCAAAGAGGACATCATTGATCAACTATCAATGGCGGTTGAACAACAACCAATATTTGTAATTTTTTTTCCACTTAATCTTTTTCCACTTTCCACGGTTTCGAGTTTACCATAATGAACTTGTATGCATCAGTTGGTGAGTTTTACTATGTAAATTGCGAATTATTTAAATTCAGCATGCTGGGACAATGTTGGATGCAAGTGCTCGTGTATATTCGTTTCGAGTGGATGTGACACATTCGGAAGCGTGTGATGTTCGTATGAAACTCGGCGACCGTTAGTCATTTCCTGTTTTAAAAAAATCTAATTCATCTGCCAAGTAACAGAAATGGCATAATACCTTCTTTTACGTTAACTATCAAACGCTCGTATGCGTATGTTTATACATATGAAGAATGAAGTCGAAGTATTGTTGAGGTGTTTTCTGTGAAAACCGAAGAGAAATGCAACAAGTTGAATGTTGTTGGTAAGTTTATAGGTTTAGATTGATATCTATAATTGGCTTTGGTCAGTTTCAGCCACAACTAGTAATAAGGCAAATGAGGGTGGTAAACATCAAGCGGATGAGAAGCATGGCCACGGTTCAGAAGGTTCAGATATGGACACGGATATTGACGCTTCATCGGACGATGGGCCGACGACTCAGAAACAGGCCACGGACAAGGTTAATTGACGATTTCGATTGTCTGTTTGATGAATTTGTAATCTAGTCGGTTCATTGCTGAAGCGTTAGAATTATAGGAGGATCGTAAGAAACGCGGCCTTAAAGACGGCGCTAATCGTCTCGAAGAGGATTCAGACATCGAAGCAGACGAAGAGCACACACCAGCGAATCTGGATGACTTGGAGGACTTCGATGATCTGGAAGCAACTGAGGAGTCTGACCCGGAGAATGAAGATATCTTAATGGAACCGGAACAGTTGATGGAGAAGTTCAGGAAGAAGGCTGATAGCGCACATGCGAAATGCATGAAACGACGTAATAAGGTTCGGTGATATTGTTTGATCAATGATTGTGGATAGTGTTGAGTGCGTTTTATTTTGGAATTTGATTCTGTGGAAGGTCATCAAAAAATGATTGCTTCTTAATGGATTTTGGTTTTTAGTTTGTAGGTTGTAATGTGTAATATTTGAATCTTCATTCATAGTCGAGCGAAGCTCACTCGGACGAGATGAATTCGAATATGAGAAATTGATGTTTTACTGAATATCAGTGGAAGATGGTAGTCAAGAGTGTAGTTTAGGTATCAATGGTAACAACGGATACGAATGAATTGGACGATCGTGAAGAAACCGCACAGATGTGTGCACATTTGTACAGTAAAGCGACGCATAATTTTGATGAGGGGTCGACGAGTGGTTTATTGATGCAAAATATCACTATTGGTAAGCATGGACGACGGCTGTTATTGCATAACGATGTGAAGTGTCCACCGGATCCACCGAGCGAGAAGGTGAACGCAGACGACTTGCTACCGTTCTACGGTTGGTTTTATTTGCATTCTGCAATAAACGCTTATCGAATCGATTCAGATAAGAGGGCGATTGTGAGCTTTTTGATGTGAATATATTATAGAACTTCAGTTGTGTTACAGTAGTGATCATTGTGCTTACAATTAGAGAGTTCTTATATGCCTTTGAATTGAAGGTTTGATGAATGATATCGAAAAAGCAGAACCGCCGCCTAGTGCCACTATATTTGGTGATGACGATGCGTCCACTTCACTTATGGTTGACCCGACAACACAGGTGAGTGTCTTTGGGATTCTGAAATTGCTTCGAGTTTCCCGACTGTTTTTGTCATTTTTGTTAAAGATATTCTTCGCTTTTGGTTTGTGGATGAGAATTTTTTTTTNTTTTTTTTTGGTTGTTGGTTTTGTAGCTTCATCCATAAATTTTCGTTGTTTGAAATGAAACATTGACTGTTCTCAGTCAGATCATTCTCAGTCATGCTTATTTTTGTACTTAAATATTGTTGAAATCGGTATTCGTATTCGTTTTTGTTAGTTGCAGTATGATGAGACACAAGCATTCCTCGGTGCCGATGGTAACGCTACATTCGCTGTTGAGCCGAGTCTGACTGTTCCGGCACATTGTGCTCTCTTGAAGACAATTAAAGAGTCAATGAAAAAGAATGTTCCACGTTCACCAAAGGATTTTCTCTTCTTCAACAGACTTCGGTTGCAACGTAAATTAGGCATAACTTCGGGGAAATTCATGAAAATCTTGGTTAGTTATTATTCGTTTTGTACTGTCGAAACGTTTTATTCGTGTAGATGTTTGAAAACTTTTGATGTGTTTGTTCAGCTGAAGCGTACTCTTCATAGTGACGAATTTTTCAATTGATTTGACCTTATTTGCTGTTTTCCTTATATCAGTCATCTCGTATTTAGATGTCAATGATTTTTTCGGGTGATTGATTAATCGCAGAAGTTTGTATTGGTTTTGTTTTCAGAGTTCAGTGAAAGAAGTGGAACCAGCGTTGTATTCGTCGCTTGTGCACGCAATGTTTACAATACCTCAACGAAGCAAGATCCATGCAGATAGCTCTCGACGTTCGATAGATTCACAAAATTGGATTGGTAACGCTGTGATCGCAGATGAGCT